CCTACTGGAAGAGCCCTGGAAACTTGTTTCTGGGGGGAACAGACTGAGGAGATGACTTGGGTCTAGGATCCTGTGCCCTAGGGAGACACATTTACTGGAAGAAGGATAGGCAGCTCCCCACCCCCCATCCTTAATTAAGACGAAGATTCTTTCTGCCTAACGTAGGCTAGCCACTTTTTCTACTTTATAGCCTGTATCCCTGTGGGAGGGAAATAGCCCAAAGAGGTTGCCAAAAGACAGAAACCCAACATAAGCCAACCCTTTAGCATCTGTAATAACCTTGACTTTGACCCTTTCTGACTGACTTTGTTGGGTATGAGGGTTGCATGGAGGAGTCTGGAGTTTCCCTTAAGGCACAGGGGACATTTTGGTAGAGCCTTGAAGTATATGAAAAATCTTGCCAGGAGAAGACAAGGGGACAGGCGGTGGGGATAGCTGCATTCCAGAAAAAGGAAGGAACATGAGCAGTCCCCTGGAGCTGTGTTGTGTAAAGGTAGGATGAAGCTGGACACATAAAATGGGGTGAGGCAGTTCAGTCCTCGAAGACCTTGCTAGGGAGGTTACACATTATCCTGTGAGCTATGGAAAGACATGTGAGTGAAAGAAACCTACACAGTGTAGAATTCCACTTATATGAAGTTTAAGAATAGGCAGAACTAATTGATGGTAATAGAAGTTGGCATGTGGGCTGCTGGGGGAAGGACTGGTTGCGAAAGGGTTCATCAGGACTGCTGGCAAGGACTGGTGTGTTTGTTACCTTCTGCAAGGGTGGGGCCTTGCACGTATGGGGATGAGTCCATGAATTCGTGCACTATGTGGTTTGTAGGTTTCTATTTTTTTTTTTTCTTTGAGTCAGGGTCTCCCTTTGTCGCCCAGGCTGGAGTGCAGTGGCGCCATCACAGCTCATTGCAGCCTCAAGGGATCCTCCCACCTGAGCCTCCTGAGTATCTGGGGACTACAGGGTTGTACCACCATGCCCAGCTAATTTTTGTATTTTTTTGTAGAGACAAGGTTTCGCCATGTTGTCCAGGCTGGTCTCGAACTCCTGAGCTCAAGCAATCTACCTGCCTTGGCCTCCCAAAGTGCTGGGATTATAGACATGAGCCACTATGCTCATCCTATGCAGTTTGTATTTTATACCTCAATTTATTAAGGCTGACTCTTGACATTGTGGTGGGGGAGGACTTGTAGGCAGGGAAATGAATCCCAAAGGGATTGAAAGAGCTGGAGATGAGGGTCTTAGCTAGGAGTGGCTTCAATGACTGCATAAACATCACTCTGCAGGACTTTCGAAGATTGCATTCTAGCATATCTGCCTTCCCAGGGGCTATGGTGTGTTTTGAAATTACACCTCTGCTGTATTTATACACCTATTACTCATTTCTAAGAGCCAGCAGTTTTCTGGCTTAAAAAAGAAATCTTGAGAACAATTGGAGTTATAAGTACTTGACTGTAGAATTACTGTCAGTGGAATGTATTTTGTTTTCAAACCATTGTAGCCATATTTTTAATGGTCTGCCATGTGGAGCAGGAATTAGACATTTCCTGTCTGTTCCAAGGGAATGGAAACCTGGGTAGAAGCTTCAGAAATGGAGATTGTAACCTAACCTAAGACCTGTGCCGATGCTTTTCCCTGGGAGCTCAGGGTGGCATCCTCTGTGTAGCACCTGCCCTGTGTTGAGGCCTGGACTGTATGTTGGGGTTACAAATAGAAACAAGACAGGATGTCTTCAAGGAGCCTGTTATCTGAAGGGAAGCTGGTATGTGAGCAAGTCTTTTAGTACAGGGGGGCCCAGCAATAATGGGAGAACATTCCAGGACTTACAGAGGTGCAGAGAAGAGAAGATTGTGACTAGGGGGACCAGGTAGACTTTAAGGGGATTCCTGGACAGCGGTTTTAGAGAAAACTAAGAGTTTGTGAATAAGTGACTAAAATTTTACAGTCAAAGGGTGAACGGGGAGGCAGAGATAGGCACGTGATGACCGCTGTAGAGGGACTGGGAGCCCTTGGTGTTGCTGGGAGGGTGTTTTACATATTTTTACCAGTTTCCTTTTATTCCAGGATGACTGACACTGTATATTTTACACTGATTATTAGAAGACTTATTAGATTAATGTGTTACACATTATTCTTTATACATTAGATACGTAAGAGAAGATAAGCTTGTTAGCCTATTAAAATAATGTGATTTCCTACTATTTAGGGTGGTGGCAGTGTGAGGGTAGATTTAAGCAGCAGGGACAGGCTTGGGCAGGGAGATGTACGAGACTAGTGTTAGGGTTTAACTATGAGGACGCGTTCAGGAGGTGCAGGAGGAAGTGGCTGGAGCTGCCCAGGTGTGGGCCGAGCGGCTGCTGGCAGGAGTGTTGGGGGTGTGCTCCATATCCCATGGTGTTTGACCTGGAAGACTCCCCGCTGCCATGTACTTTTTTTTTTTTTTTTTTTAATCTGTATTTAAACAGAGGCAGTGTGGTAGTGGTTCTGGGTTCAGATTCTAGCTCTGCTTCTTACCTGATGCATGACCTTGGACAAAGAGAAGGGACTTAACCTTTCTGAGAATGTCATCTGAAAGATGAGGATGGTATCTACGGCTTAAAATGTCGAGGAAGATCAAGTGAAGAGCTGTGTCTTAGCTCAGCACCTGGCAGAGGGTGAATACTGAGCTCCAGGGAACAGCTGCTGCTACATCAATGAGCAACTGGAGTTGGGTGGATCGCTGAGGGAAGACATTGGGGGAGGTGAGGGGCTGCAGGCAGAGCGAACAGAGCCTGTTTTGTAGCTGTTGGTGGGCACCCCTGAGAGAGCCGGTGCAGAGCAGCCCCGCCATCCCAGGCTCACTTACTGTTAAGAGAAGGGAAAGGGTCTTGGAACTCCTCATCAGAGTGACGTTCTTGCCTCATTTACAGGCTTCCACAGCAGAAGGTCTTGCAGGCAAGGCTGAAGGGAGAGGCCAGCTAAGCCATTGCTGACAGCATGCTTCTGCAGCTCCTCCTGCCAGGCCAGCAGACCCGCTATATTTGGAAGTGTGATTAACGTCCTTATTACCAGACTCCTTGGTGGTTTTAGTGATTTTCACGTTAAGTTCGAAGGTCCTCCAGAGATGCCCTCCGCAGATGTGGGAGGCCTGAAATGCCCAGAAGGGTGGAGGTGCTCTGTCCAGGCTGTGCCCTTGCTCTTGGCTGTGAGCCGGAACCATGGGGAGCTTTTTTCTCTTCTAAGAAGGTAGTTCTTAAGCATAGGAAAAGGTACTTAAGCTGTCTGTCATCCTGCCCTCCCCTCACTTAAATTTTCTGCTTTTGATCACAGAAAAAGAATTCCTTGTATTGCTGCAAAAGTTTTACGTATTTTTACCAGTTTCCTTTTATTCCATGATGACTGACACTGTCAATTTTTTTTTTTTTTTTTTTTTTTGAGACGGAGTCTCGCTCTGTCGCCTGAGCTGGAGTGCAGTGGCCGGATCTCAGCTCACTGCAAGCTCCGCCTCCCGGGTTTAGGCCATTCTCCTGCCTCAGCCTCCCGAGTAGCTGGAACTACAGGCGCCCGCCACCTCGCCTGGCTAGTGTTTTGTATTTTTTAGTAGAGACGGGGTTTCACCGTGTTAGCCAGGATGGTCTCGATCTCCTGACCTCGTGATCCGCCCGTCTGGGCCTCCCAAAGTGCTGGGATTACAGGCTTGAGCCCCCGCGCCCGGCTGACACTATTTTATACTAATTTTTAGAAGACTTATTAGATTAATGTGTTACACATTATTCTTTATACATTAGATTCATAAGAGAAGATAGGCATGTTAGCCTGTTAAATAATGTGATTTCCTACTATTTTAGCACATGACCATATTTGCATGGATTCAGTTACAACAGAATCAGTGATCACCTGTATAGTGGGAGAATATGTTTTAAACCTTTGTCCTAGCATAGTTCTTCACATGGTGATAGTTACTTCTTTTTGTAAAAAACAAATGGACCAAAGTCTGCTTTTTGATTCTCACTTGAGATGAAGTGTAACTGACTGGGGCTCCTGGAGGCCATCCTTGTGGTGGTTTGTTATTCATTAGCTTACGAATCACCCTGCCAGCTTCTTGGCTGGATGCTTTTTCCATCTTCCTGGGTCATCATCTTAGCCTGTTGTCTCTAGAGAATCAAAGCCAGACACCTCTGGCAGTGACTCTCATCCTCTCTCGAGTGGCTGCCTCGCTAGGCTTCCCTAGAGACCCCCTCTCCAGCCGGGTTCCCTTCTTCACTGTGCTTCCCTCACGCTTCTTGTCCTGTCCCTGTCTTTGAATTGCCCCATCTGCTCTTCACACATCCACATCCCTTCCTTTGAGACCTGTTGTTAAAAACACTTGCAAGCAAGCGTTATCTCGTAGGGTCTTTACCCAGGACACCAGAAAAAGAAATGTGTAGTATTAGTATTTAGAGGTTCTCAAACGGGGAAAAAGAAACTCTGGCGAGCTAGTCTAACTCCTACATTTTGTGCCATGGGAAATCCCAAGCTCGCCAGAGTTTCTTCCAGCTCTAAAATGTCTTCAGCATTTGTCCAGAGAGTGTAATCAGTTGCTTATGATACAGTTATGGTTAATGGGAAATGATTATTTTAAGGCAAAGTGGGGAGAGAATATATAGGTCTTTATGCCCATATGTGTATGATGTATGCATGGTTTTTATCTCTCTAGTATACTGGAGTATATTAGTATGCACAATGAAATCTATGTAATTTAAAAAAAATTTAGAGTAAAATTTGCTCTACTATAGTTTTTGTAGTTGATAAAGAATGAACTTTTCTTCCAGAGACTACAAAGCAGATTTTTCCCCCCGTTTGAGAACCTCTAAATACTAATACTACACATTTCTTTTTATGGTAGAAAACTTCAGGATATGGCATATGTAAGGTAAAATCAGCCTCTGAAGACTAAGACACTGCCGTGTATTGAACATGTTTTATTACTTTATTTTGTTCTTTGGTAATGTAATTTTTTCTCTTTTCTTTCTCTTCTCTGTAGTCAGAAAAATGGGTAAGAAGAGTCGAGTAAAAACTCAGAAATCCGGCACTGGTGCTACAGCGACTGTGTCACCAAAGGAAATCTTGAACCTGACCAGTGAACTGCTACAGAGTAAGTCCTCCTCTGGGCTCTCCCTGCCTTGATGTGGTGGCTGTGCCTTTTTCTTGTCACCAGAATGGGGAAGCATGCATCAAACAAGCTGGTATTCAGGTCCGAGCTGATGAGCTGTGGGCCTGGACGAGTCACAGAGCTACCCAGATTTGCAGTCCTCACCTGTGAGGATGGAAACACCTGTCGGAACCGTGTGGCTGTTAACAAGGCTTGGGTGAAATAATTGTGAGCTTCAATAGCACAGTGACCTGGAACATGGTCTTCCCTGAGGACCCGTGGGCAAGAACCAGCTCTACTACTTTTGCACAGTGTGCCCCTCCGCAGATTACTGAACCTTCTGAAACGCAATGTTCTTCTTGGTAAACATAGATAATAACTGTCTCAGGGAGTGAGCCAAGGACTTTGTAAGATGTGGTGTGTGAAGGTGCTTCACGGGCTGTTAGCCCAGGTGAGTCCAGCATGCCTCTCGGAGACCCGGCCTTCAGAGCTCTGCCCCTCACTGGAATGGCTCGCCTTTTTGGTGATTCAGTTAACGGTGCTTCTGATTTTTTTTCTTTTTTAGACAAAGTCTTGCTTTCTCGCCCAGGCTGGAGTGCCATGGCACTATTGTGGCTCACTGTAGCCTCGACCTCCTGGGCTCAAGTGATTTTCCCACTTCGTTCTCCTGGGTAGCTGGGCCTACAGGCCTGTGTCACCATGCCCAGCTAATTTTTTTGTAGAGATGAGGTTTTGCCATGTTGCCCAGGCTGGTCTTGAACTCTTGGGCTCAAGAGATCCTCCCGCCTCTGCCTACCAAAGTGCCGGGATTACAGGCGTGAGCCACTGCACCTGGCTGTGTATCTGATTTTTACATGCTGTAGTTTGAGAGGTCTTGGCTAAAGGAAATGGAATTTCTACTAAGTGCCTGTACTTGTTTTAGCAAGTTAGTGTGATTTGGTAACTTTTTTAAATTATGAATTTGAATTGGTGCAGTTAGTGCCTCGGCTGTAGCTGTGGTCACTCCATTGCCCTTTGTCCATGTTTAGATTATGTGGCAGGCTAAACCCCAAGTAAAAACGCAGCCTTCCCTTCGAGACAGAAAGCAGGCCGCAGGCAAGTTGGAGTCAGGTCCCTCCCGAGTGCTCCCCTGGATCCTATGGGCCAGTGGAGTGTGGCTGCCCTTAGCATTCCTCGCTGAGCTCCCCTGCCTCTGGCAGCTTGAGGATAGGCTCACTGCTACTTCACCTCTGAGGCCTGTTCCAGGCCTCAGTCAGTGCTTGTTGTTGGAGAATAAAGTAAGACTGGCTACCCTTCATAGTTAAGACTCAGCGCATATCTAGTTATTGTTAGTTATTTGCCACATATGCTCTTTTAATAGAGAGCAAAGAGGCCCCAGAGGTTAAGCAGGAGTGTAGGAAGGGGCTGTCTGAACCAATGCAGTTGTGTGAAAAGAAAGAGCTGCCAATAGGCGGGGTGCCCAGTGTGCAGCCTTCCAAACTCACACCTCAGTCTCGGGTGTTGATCTTTTGGTTCTGGCCCCACAGTGGAATCTTAGCTTCTTTTTTAGCAGTGACTATGCCATCTCATTTTGCAACTCCCCCAGACTGCTGAATATAGTGCCGTACACATGAATGTGAAATGTTTGTCGACTAATTGTCCTTATGTCCAATTTCACTGATTCCCTTAGGGAATCAGTGTTATGGGGTTTAACTAAAAAGAAAGGTTGACTTTTACTATTAACTTCTTTTTGCCATATAGAAGAGTTTTGGGGGGATAGTTTGCATTTTAGCTTAGCTTTTTATCATAGGTTTTCCTATTAGTAAGTATATTCTAGAAAGAGTTAACTGAGAATAAGGTGGCTGTGAGCTAGGTGCCTGCTCCGTGCTCTCTCTTGGGTACGTTCAGTGGGGGATGTTTTTATGATTCCCCAGGATTTGTCTGCTTTGAGAAGTGTAGCTGCCTTGTACTTCTCACGTTCATTATCGTGGCTGTCATATGTCTGTCTTTTAAAAATAAACCAACTCCAAACAGCAACAACAAAGTCCAAATCCTCTTTCTTCTGCAGACTAGTAGGTTAAGTTGAAAGAGGGAAGTGTTTCAGTACCGTGCCTCTCATGTTACAGAATGCAGCAGTCCTGCGCCTGGCCCAGGAAAAGAGTGGGAAGAGTATGTGCAGATCCGGACTCTAGTTGAGAAAATACGGAAAAAGCAGAAAGGTAAAATTGCTAGAATGATAACTGTGTTTCAATAATGTCATGTAGAAACTTGATTAGGTCAGAGGGCTGACGAGTAGTGAAGGTCTCAGCATCAGTGGTGTCATTCTGAAAGGTCTTACAGTGGGGCTTGCAGACCGGAAGAGAGGGCAGTTAGCGAGATTTCTCCCCTTTCAGAGATGCTATTACCTGCTTCGGAAAGGATGAGAATGTTGAGCTTTAGGAGAATAAAATATATCTGGGGGCTAAAATGACACAATTTTATTTATTTACTTATGTTTTTTAAAGTATTTAAATCTGGTTTTTATACTGTTATTTCCTTTTGAGTTTCAGGGCAGTGCATATAGTGTATATGGTCAACACACAAATAAATGCTGATGGGTTAATGCATTAGCAAGGTGTATGATGAATTCACACACATCTCAGTTAAATAAGAGGTGTGGTCATATTCCTTAAGCTGTGTTTTCACAGGACGTATGCAGTTGCCATTGTAATGATTCTCATCCAGGCTGGCGTGGGGCTAAGTGTGAGTTTGAAAAAGCTCGTTCAGTATACCTATTGTTTTTGTTCTGTAAAGCACAGAAAGTAAAGATTATTATGCAGGACCACATGGGAGGTAGAAGCGGAAAACATCCTGAGGAGCACGCATTGGAATGTGGGGCCATCTTCTGAGACTCGCTTTCTTATTGTCATGAAGGGCATCGGGAGAGGGTTTGTTTTTTATTTGCTGTCTTAAGTAGTGGTTTCATTGCTCTTCCATACACACCTCTAAACATGTAGTCTTCAGCTTAGATGGTCTCAAACTCCAAAGTGGTGAGTTCATAATGGGCGTGTTCAAACAGGTTCCTTCATAATGGGTTTATTTGCACCAAATAGGAGTCGGTGCTAATCCTTTGTCACCAAGTGGGTAGAGCCTTAGTTTCTCTTCTGCGTAGATACTGTTTACTGCACCTGACACTGAGGGCAGAGCATTATGCCAGTTCTCAGGGAGTGAATAGTAAGTTCCGTCTTCGAATAGTCCTCATTCTGGTCGTTTTCACCATTCAGCAGGTATCTTTGCATATCCAGCATGCCCTCTTCACATATCAGGTTGACTGTTAATTATGCTGTGGTAAGATGGCCACAGGCGCCTGAGCTATGTGCCACACCCAGCTTCCTCATAGTAAAGTTCCTCTTCCTCTCCTTTTATTCGTCCAAACGGAATGGTTTTTTCTATGCATGTCTTTTCATCTTTTTAACTATGTCAGACATGCTGAGAAGTTCAGAAATTAATGTAACAGATGCCGGGGAATCTGCTGCCCCCACTGAGCATGTGTCAAAGTAGTATTCACATTGTCCTTTCTCTTATTCTCACCCACTGGTCAGCTTTCCTTTCCCTTCCTCGGCCGTTGGTTTTGTTTTTGTATTTGTTTTTAAGAAAACATCCCAGATACAGCCAAAGCCTCCCCTTTTCACCCCCTTCCATTCCCTCCCTGCCTGCGGGGTGTTCATCTTCACTGGGAATGTTTTCTATTTCATAAAAACCCCATAAAAATATATGGTTGTAATTGCTGTTTGAAAAATTTACATAAATGGTGTCATGCTACGTGATTTTTAAAAAACCACCGTGGTACATTTAGTGTTATACTCACATTGGTACACATAGCTCTAGCTCATTTAAATTACAGCCTTCTGGCTTACAGCTCTACAGTTTTGTGTTCTTAGAATCAGGACTGTAGGGTTCATCCTTTCCCATGTCTCCTTGTGCACATAATGTGAATTACTCATTTTTGTTTTAATGGAAATTTTGTTAAAGCACATGTGAATATGAGAGATGGCATGTTGGACTTTTAAGGAGAAAACTGCTCTATAAATCGTAGTAATGGTAATAGAAGCTGTCTCCCCTTTGCCATCATATTACCTAATAGTACCTAACAGTCAATATTTATATTACCTAGTGTCAGTATATATTTCACTGTAACTGACAGGGAGTTTAGGATTTTAATTCTTCTTCCCTGTCATCAGTTAAGGTATGTACTGTGACCATGTGATTAGCTTTGATTTCACGATTGGTGTGTTAAGACTATTTCCAGTGTTAGTTATGGCCTTTTTTTATTTTCTGAGAGACGTGTGAATGATATATGTCCTAAAAGTAGCTCTTGTTTTCTAAAACGTGGATTAATATAGGTCTGTCCGTTACTTTTGATGGAAAAAGAGAAGATTACTTTCCTGATCTAATGAAATGGGCCTCTGAAAATGGGGCTTCTGTCGAGGGTTTTGAAATGGTTAACTTCAAAGAAGAGGGCTTTGGTTTGAGAGCAACAAGAGATATCAAGGTGAGTTTATAAAATGTTGGTCTGAGGGGGTCTATGTGTGTTTGAACTGTTGTGCTGCAGAGGGTGCAGGGTGAGGAGGTAGACGTGTGGTGGGGAAGTTCTAGTTCTGAGCCTGTGGGCAGATAGGCAGCCTGGAGGACCTCAGGCTCATGTTCTAAGCAACTCCTCCCACCTTATCCCTCTGGGGAGCCAAGCTGCTAACCAGTGACTGGGACAAGTCAGTTCACACTTCTGAGCCTCTGTTAGGAGGCCATAGAACATGCCTCACAGGATTTTGAGATTTACCTAAAGACCAGGAGGTGGACTCATGGTTTTTTATTTTGTGACTTACTGGAGGTGAGTGGGTGGAGGACTGGTGGTGTGGGGATGCCTACCAGTGTCTGGAATGGATACCTGTGAGGTTGAAGGTACTAGGAGCTCACTGAAATGGCAGCACCAGTGGCAATAGGGAGAGAAGAGAGAAACAGCCACCTGCTGAGGGAGAAGGGCTTTTTCTCCCCTCTTTGTTCTTGGTTCTTCTTTCCACATGAAGGGAGCAGCAGTCACTGGCCATGCCTGGCCTTTCCTCACCCCTCACTCATGCCTCTTGTAAGAGGAGGCGCTCCTTCATCTGTTTAGGAGAAGGAACTGGACTTGGCCTTTTTCTCGATGGGAGCTGGTTGCCCGTATGCATTCATTCCACTCTGCTCTCCGCCCTGGAAGCTTTGCAGGGGCAGGCCACACGTGGGGAGGGCGGTGGGGATCCGGCTCTGCCTGTAACTAGGTGGGGGAGTCTGTCTAATTCTGGGATTCAGGAGGTGATATTTTGGGTGACCATCTGTTGTATTCTCTCTCTCTCTCAGTTGCTTCAGAACTTGGGTGGAGGAAAGGGTGTTATTTGGCCCCCTCAAACCTCCAGCAACATTTTTGGCTAAGTTGTAGTTAACCTTTCATTGATAGATTGGTAAATCACATGCTGGTATATTAGATACCTGTTAAATGTCTGCTGTGTGACTGGTAGTATCTTGCTTCCAAAAAAAAAACAGTCTCTTTCTTCATGATGCCTATAATCTGTATAGTAAGAGACAAGACAGATAACTTAATAGTTGACATTGGTGAAGGCAAGGTGCCACATGTTCTTCTCTTGTATCAGATTCAAGGCAGCATTTGTGTGGATGTTGCCCAGAAGATCTGAGCTGTGGACTTTCCTCACTATGTGCTTTTGTGGGGAGGCGAGGGTTGGGGAGGAGGTCTTAAACAACAGACATTTATTTCTCACAATTTGGAGGCTGGATGTCCAAGATCTCAAGGTGCTGGCATGGTCTGTCTAGGTGAGGGCATTCTTGGTTTGCAGACAGCTGCCCGCTTGCTGTCTTCTCACATGTTGGAGCACCATGTGCCCGTTTTATGCGGTGTAGATACACAGGACACAGCAAAAGGAAGCATCCTGTGTTGCCAAGAAATGAGAAAAAGCTTTGGGAAACAAATTTGTAAACCAGTGTGTCTTCTGGGCATGTGATTTCACTAGTAACTGTTGTGCTTTAAAGATAAATATGTAGAGGAAGGAATGTTACTCTGGCTTTAAAACTCAGTAGTAGTAATTCACGTCGACAGATGAGGGTTTTTGTTGGAGGCAGAAATTTTGTTTTGGTCTGGTTTTAGAACTTAGAAGTACAGCAAAGAATAAAATAAACACCTTTGTGCTCTACTCCAAGTGTTGTATTTGCTTCAAGTTAAAGTTCGAAGTCCCTTCTTTGATTATTTGCTCGTCAGCATATGTAGTTTTTAGTTTTTCTATTGGAAACAGGATTTTAAACTATCCTTCTACTCATTTAACTATAAGATAAATGGTTACATTTAAAAATATATTTGAATATTTATTTGAAGTGCTGATATGCAGCCTTAAGTTGTACTTCATGTGTGATTGGATTTCTGACCGTAGGTATAGTTGGATTGAAGACTGTACCATGTTTTGATGATTCTTCTATTATTTTTTTCCCTAGGCAGAAGAATTGTTTTTATGGGTTCCACGAAAATTACTAATGACTGTTGAATCTGCTAAAAATTCAGTGTTGGGTGAGAATAATTTCTGACTGTTCAAGGCAAAATACAAATGACAATATATAAAATTCCATTTTGTGGCACTAAGGATCATACTTGGTTTTTCTTGACTGGTGAAATAGTCCCTCAAATATGCATTAAGTGTTTTTCATTTAATGTTATAAAAAAGATGCACATGACCTTTATTGTTACTATTATTATTATATATATATTTTTTTGAGATAGGGTCTCGCTTTGTCACCTAGGCTGGAGTACAGTGGCACCATCCTAGCTCACTACAGCCTTGATCTCCCAGGCTCAAATGATTCTCCCACAGGTGTGCGCCACTACACCTGGCTAATATATATATATATATATATATATATATATATGTGTATTTTGTTTTTCTTTGTAGAGACGGGGTTTCGCTGTATTGCCCAGGCTGGTCTCAAACTCCTGAGCTCAAGCAGCCCTCCCACCTTGACCTCCCAAAGTGCTAGGATTACAGATGTGAGCCACCGCGCCCATCCTGTACCTGACTTTCAATGTTACAAGACCTTTTAGTTTTCCTGTAATTTGTAAATGTATATTTAAATGAAGTTTTTAAGAAGTTTGTGGAACTTACGCTGTTAACTTCTGGATTAATTCAGGGCCCTTATATTCTCAAGACCGAATCCTTCAAGCCATGGGAAACATCGCACTGGCCTTTCATTTGCTGTGTGAGCGAGCCAACCCTAACTCCTTCTGGCAGCCCTACATTCAGACTCTCCCTAGTGAATATGACACACCTCTCTACTTTGAAGAAGATGAAGTTCGGTATCTTCAGTCCACACAAGCTATACATGATGTCTTCAGCCAGTATAAAAACACAGCTCGGCAGTACGCCTACTTCTATAAAGTCATCCAGGTGAGCAGCTGTTTACTGTTTACCTATGTATTTCGCAGAGTGGGGAGGAAAGAGGACTTGAGTCCATAAATATTCCATTTGATGTCTTACTAAGAATACTTAAACATTTTGCTTTTTAAATAGAAAATATAAAATACATTTCATTGTTTCTGTTTTTACAGAAATATCAGTGAAATAAGGTTACATATATATATCTGATTTCGTCACTGTCCAGTGTTAATACAAGCAGTTGTTCCTGAGTTATTGAAATCACTAAGTTTTTTTGTAAACAAAAGATCACAATGAAATTTTAAAAGTCATAAAGCATATCTGATGCAAAAAGTTACTCTGTGTATAAACTTTTCAAGAAAATGAATGTTAATTTTTTTCTAGATAAGTATAAAATATTGACAAGTAATTTAGCAAATTATAACATTTACGTTTTTCAAAGTGTACTGTGTATTAATTTTAATTTGTTCTCAGTAAAAGTTTCTCATAGAAATCTGTATAAGGCTCCAAGTATTTGAATTACCTGTGATGACACCTTTCTGTATTTTGGTGGTGTGGCCACTGTTGTCTTTCATTTGCAGTTGATCAGCAGTCAGAAGGAACAGGGCCAGTGCCACAGTCCCCGCCAGGACTGAGAGGCGGCATGGCTCCTTCTCCTGACTCCGCACAGTCTAAGTCACTGAAGAGTCAGCTCCTGGGCTGCTCTTCTTGAGATACGACAAGTGGGCAAGTGAACTATTTGCTCGCTTTCCTTTTTGGGCAGTGTGACAGCCTGAATTAGGTTTGATTTGCTTGTTCCTTAAATGATCTATCCTTGCTATGTTTTATTTGCAAGAAGTGGTAACTTCATTTCATTGCTACAGGTGATACTGTTTTCCACTTATTATTTTCACTTTGTAGCATGCTTACTGCATAAAATTTTACACTCAGTTACATCTTCTCCTCCACCGAACACTTCACATATGTCAAAAATTATACACGACTATTGTCTTCAAGTAGAAATCAATCCCTTTATTTTTCTAAACCTTAAACTTCAGGAAGTCATTAGGAATGTTTGTACAGTATGTATATAGCTTTTATTTCAAGTTGGTTTAATTCAAAAACTATTGATGAAGCCAAATCAAAACTTTGCTTCTTCATATAGTGTGCACCTACGGTCCCTCAGTCTAAGGTCAGTTTAGCTCTTCATGACCTGGAAGGGTTATACTTTTATTCTTAGTTCTCAATGGTATATCTTTCATGACTAAAGATTAAGCTGACTTTAGTAGGTCTAAGTATTTGCCATTTTCTCTTGCTGGACAATGAACTACAAGCTGACTCTTTTCACTAATGTGCCTCTAGTTTGCAAATGCTGGTAGCCTGCTCTGAGAGGTCTCTCTTCTCTTGGCAAGTTGGACGGTCTAGGATGATGGCAGGTCTTCTGATAACCAGCTTGGCGTGAATGAGCTTTGGATGTTTCATTGTATTCACTGGTCTGTTTACTTCAGTATTAACTAGGTAGTGCAGCTTTGCTTCAAAATTTGATGAGATTTTCAGTGGTTGTGAGTCACTAAAATACTCTCTTCATATAGATGGAGCCATTTTTTGTCAATTTGTTTAAGAGCCAGGTCTCTTTGTAACCGCCTGAAATAAACTGCCTTAGATGCTGAGACACTAAGGGGATTATATTATACCACCTTCTGTGTAGTAAACGGTGTCATTGTAAACATCTCAGGAATTAGAGAACATTCTATTTATTTTTTATTTTTTTTTGAGACCGAGTCTTGCTCTGTCACCCAGGCTGGAGTGCAGTGGCCGGATCTCAGCTCACTGCAAGCTCCTACTCTCGAGTTCACGCCATTCTCCTGCCTCAGCCTCCCGAGTAGCTGGGACTACAGGCACCCGCCACTTCGCCCGGCTAGTTTTTTTTTTTTTTTTTTTTTTTTTTTTTTTTATTTTTTAGTAGAGACGGGGTTTCACCGTGTTAGCCAGGATGGTCTCGATCTCCTGACCTCGTGATCCTGCCCGTCTCGGCCTCCCAAAGTGCTGGGATTACAGGCTTGAGCCACCGCGCCCGGCTAGAGAACATTCTAAAAGTAAACTCTTAATTGAGAAGTTTTCTCAAGAGTAATAGAATTTCTATATGACTAATAAGAACAATTTGTGTCATTTATAACGTAATGAGTACAAATATCCTTTTTAAAAACAACAGCATTCTTAGAGCACTAATCTTTTTAAAGAAATTATTCCTCTTTATTGAAAAATTTAGTTAACCACTATCAAACATGGAACATTCAAATGTGAAATTAACAAGGTAATCAAATGTCTGCACAGTTGATATTTTTTCCACAATTAAGTCAATCTGAGTATTTGAAAAAAGTATCAGGATTTAGAAATCAAACTGGTTACTTTTCTGTCAAAAGTATGAAACTGAGGAGAGCAAAATGTGTCTGGTCACATGTATAAGTTCTTTTATTTTATATCGGACTTTTTTTTCCTTTTGTGACACAGGGTCTCGCTGTCACCCAGGCTGGAGTGTAGTGGCATGATGATGGCTTACTGCAGCCTTGACCTCCAGGCTCAAGCGATCCTCCCACCTCAGCCTCCCCAGTAGCTGGGATTACAGGCATGTGCCACCACGCCTGGCTAATTTTTTGTAGAGATGAGGTTTCGCCATGTTGGTAAGGCTGGTCTCAAACTCCTGGAGTCAAGTGATCCGCCCGCCTTGTCCTCCCACAGTGCTGGGATTACAGGCGTGAACCACCTCGCTCGGCCTGGAGACTTTTTTTTATTGTTGAATTGGGAGTGTGGGGTGCCACTGGCATCTAGGTTAGAGTTGCTGCTACAATTCTACATATAGGACAGCCCCCTCAACAAGGCATTTTCCAGCCCCAAATGTTAGAAGTGCTGAGGCTGAGAAACCCTGCTTTGTATTTGTATACAGAACAAAGCACCTCAGATACATATGATTGAGAAAATCACAGTCCTTCCCACCTAATGATTGGAAGCCTGAGGCCCACCAACACTGGTTGTAGTGACTTTCGTCATTTTCTCAGAATGTCTTCTCCATAGCTAATTCCAGATGCCTTCCTGGGTATAACTGCATGCTGTGGTGAGGAGAAGGTATTTTAGAGCATTTTTTGGTCACTGGCATTTAACACATATTAAGAACCTACAAATAAAATACCAGGTTTAGAGATACTTGACTTATTAAGGATACAAATACAGGGGAACAAACACTGAAAAAATGTAAACCTAAGATTCAGGTTATAAAATCATGCGGATTTGGAGTAAGGAGCTGAGTTGAGATCCTTGGCATTGCATGTTGCAAATGAAATACGCATGATGGGGTGGAGTCAGTTCTCTGTGTTAGCTGGGAGACTTCACAGGAAGGAGCATTTGAGTGATGGGAGAGAAGGAACCCTGGCCCCTGGACTGGGCAGTCCTGACTGAGTATGGTTAGGAAGAGTTGAAACAGCTGCATCCACTGTCCAAATGAGAGACGCTGTGGCTGCGTGGAAAGAGCACGTACTTTGTAGTAAGACAAAAACCTGCATTCTATAGCTCATTTGCTGTTTACATATAATTTGAAATTAAATATAATTTGGAATTAGTTGCTTTACTCCTGAGTTTGTTTCCCAATCTGTAAGATAAAAATATGAAGACCTGTTTTTTCCTGTGACCATTGTCAGCCCAAGTTGGATTGTTTATCAAAGCAACTAGCCTGCTGCCAGGCTAGTTGTTGTTAGGAGTCATTTTCCTCTGGGAAACTGTGGAAATGGTAGGGTGAAGCTCCCTCAGCAAGTGCAGTGTGGTAACTGAGAGGGTGGGCTCTGGAGCCAGCCTGCTAGGGCTGAAATCCCTGCAGCACCACTTAGAACTGTGCCATTTTGGGCCGGTCTCTGTGCCTTCCTTCCCGTATCTGTAAAGGGGGCTAGTGGAGTGCCTGATTCCCAGGGTTGCTGAGGGAGCAAAGTGAGTTGATCCGTGGTGAGGCCGTTAGTACTGTGCCTAGCACACAGTGCTCATTGTAGAAATGCTCTGTTTATGCTATTTCCATTTTGCGTTTGACCCTCAGGCCATGTTATTTGGTTTTGTTTTGTTTTAAATCACTTCTCCTTCTGTCCGTACAGTATCTTAAGTTAGTATTTCTTAGTGTTTTCTACTAAAACAAAACTGGTGGCCAAAGATAACATTCCTGCAAGTCTAGGGGCTGAACCCATAGTGACTCATCACAAGCTCAAAGTTGCTGTCAAGCCTGGGCAACCCATCTCTACAAAAAATTAGCCAGGTGTGGTGGCATGCACCTGTAGTCTCAGCTACTTGGGAGGCTGAAGTGGGAGGTTGGCTTGAGCCTTAGAGGTAAAGGCTGCAGTGAGCTATGGTCACACCACTGCATTCCAGCTTGGGCAACAGAGCAAGATCCTGTCTAAAAAAAAAAATTGCTTCTAAGATTCATGTTTTTGTTACTGGTTTTTGGACTCGTGTTTTTAAATCTTAAAAATTCATGCAAATGATAATGTTTGCTATTTTTAAAACCATGTTAAGTGACTTACCATCAAGTGAGATGGATATTGCAGGAAAACAACCCTACTTTCTCCTAAGACCTCGGGTTGTCTCACACTGCAGTGTGAGAAGTGCAGCCTTTACCTGTAGTAAGTGCCATTAAGCTGACCCGTGGGCAGTTCAGATGTGATTTTTTTGCAGAAGAAGAAAATGTAACGGTCATTTAACATGGGTAAAACTATTCAGCTGAAGGGATCATTACATATTGAAAATACGTAATAATGAGCTTTTGTGTGTGTGTGTGTGTTTTGTTTTTTTTTTTTTTTTGAGATGGAGTCTTGCTCTATCACCTAGGCTGGAGTGTGGTGGCGCGATCTCAGCTCACTGCAACCTCTGCCTCCTGGGTTCAAGCGATTCTCCTGCCTCAGCCTCTTGAGTAGCTGGGGTAACAGGTGCCCACCACCACGCCCAGCTAATATTTTGTATTTTTAGTAGAGACAGGGCTTCACCATGTTGGCCAGGCTGGT